CCAACATGGCTGAAATCCCATCTCTATTAAAAATACAAATTTAGAAGAGATGGGGTTTCAGCCATGTTGGCCAGGCTGTTCTTAAGCAGTGGTTTTTCACAGGCACTATAGCCCTGAACTCCTGGGCTTAGGCAATCCTCCCACCTCAGCTTCCTGAGTAGCTGGGACTACAGACATGGACAACTCTACCTGGTTCCTGCTCATTTTGTAAGTGTCTTTTGAAAAGCAGAATTTTAAAAGAGTGAAGAAGTCCAATTTATGTTATTTCTTTTATGGTTCATTTTTCTGTGTCTTAGCTAAGAAATCTCTGCCTAACCCAAAGTCACAATGATTATTTTCGGCACATTTTCTATTAGTTTTATAAATTTTAACTCAGATTTAGGTCTATGATCCATTTCAAGTTAATTTTTGTTATACAGTGCAGTGTAACAGTTGAGGTTCATTGTTTTGCACGTGGATATCCAATTGTTCCAGAATAATTTGTTGAAACAATCTGAGACCAATGATTTTAATAAAATAGCAGAGGAAGTTCACTGATAAGGTTTCAGACACTATACTGCAACTAATCTTCAAGAGACTGCAACTACCTGAAAATGGTATTAAAATATTTTTCCTGGCCAGGCGCAGTGGCTCACGCCTGTAATCCCAGCACTCTGGGAGGCTGAGGTGGGTGGATCACCTGAGGTCAGAAGTTTGAGACCAGCCTGGCCAACATGGAGAAACCCTACCTCTACTAAAAATGCAAAAATTAGCTGGGCATGGTGGCATGCACCTGTAATCCCACCTACTGGGGAGGCTGAGGCAGGAGAATCGCTTGAACCTGGGAGTTGGAGGTTGCAGTGAGCCGAGATCACACCATTGCACTCCAGCCTGGGCGACAAGAGTCAAACTCTATCTCAAAAAATAAAATAAAACAAAACAAAACAAAAACAAAAAACTAAAATGTCTTCCCTTTCAAACTATATACCTGTGCCAGGTCAGATATTCCTTATATATGTCAACCAAAATAACAAACCACAATAGATTGAATGTGGAAGCAGACATGAGAATCCGGCTGTCTTTTCTTAATCCAGACATTAAAGAGATTTGTAAAAATATAATACAATGCTAGTCTTAATATTTTTTGAAAAATATACTTTTCATAAAAATATTATTTTCATTACTAATTATAGTCTTTAAGTGAACTAAAGCATAATTTTTTTCTCAATTTCTATTATAAATACAGTGAATATCAATAGATATAACCATATAAACAAAAGCACTTTAGGGTCCTCAACAATTTTTTAGGGATTTAAAGATCCTGGGTCCAAAACCTAGCTGCCATCATCTCTCTCTTCAATTATTGAAATTATCCTTTTTATAGCCAGAGTAGCATATCTAAATGCATCTTCTTATAGCCAGAGTAATGCAAATCAGATCAGGTAAAACATATGTTTAAGTCCTTTGAGTGACTTAACTATTCTTAGCATCAAGACCTGAGTGATCAAGCTTCCCCAGTCTTTTCTCACTTCATTCTCCCATTTCTCTTTATTCTCTGAAACAACAACCTTGTTTTCAGTAAGGTCCTTAAGTGCACTAAGCCTCATTGGCTCTTGGGGCCTTTGCACTGACTCTTCCTTAGGAAAAGTCCTTCCTTCCTGTTCTCAAGTTAATTCCTTCTCATCCTTCGGATCTTAAACATTGATTACCTGATCTTCTTTACCCCAACCTTCAGGTTAGACAGGGTCCTTCTTTTATATACTCTTACAGCTCCTTCTACATTTCCTTCCTAGAATTTACTGGCTTGGGAGATTACACTTTTAGAATTATGTGATTTAATAGCTTTCAATCATTTCACAAAATAGAAATATAATAAACATCTATATAAGTATGTGGACTATTAAATAAAATTTTGCCAAATACCCAAGATCAATAGTTCTCATCAGATTTCCAAAGGGATCCATGACCCGTGTGTAGTGAAGAATTAATCTTTACCAAAGAGAGGTCTAGTCTTTGCTCTTGGCTACTGTAAAGTGGTCTCTAGGCCCCTGGAACTTCTTGTCTGGTAGGAGTTTCTCTGTTTGCCTGAGAGCTTTAGCTACTGGACAAACGTGATTCATGTTGGGGGCACTAAACCACACCTGTAAGTTTCAACACTAGGAGGAAATAAAGAGACTAGAGGTCAGCCATGTGAGCAGTATGTGACTGAGCAGCAATGAATACGCTGGACATCAAGGGCTCAGGTGAGTTTCATGGTTGGTAATACTCTGTGTGTATTGTCACACACTGTAGCTGGGAGGCAGTAATGCCATCCACGACTCCATCCGTAGAAGATTACAGGAAGTTCTACAATTGGATCCTTCCCAGATTCTGCCCTATGTGTCTCTTCTGTTGGCTAATTTTAACCTGTGTCCTTTCCCTGTAATAAACTGTGAGTATAACTGCTTTCAGTGAGTTCTAAGTCCCTTCCAGCAAGTTACCAAACCTAAGAGTAGTTGTGGGGACCTCTAAACATGAAACTGGTTCCTGAAGTAGGAGCAGCCTTTTAGGAACTACTGTTCCTTCAGACTCTGCAGACTGGCTAAACTAACTGCAATTCCAAAAAGGCAAAAACAAAAACAATACGCTAGACTACAAATTCTTCAATGGCAGAACCTTGTCAATATGATAATGTAGTTAAAAATATAAGATATAGCCAAGCACAGTGGCTCACATCTGTAATCCCAGCACTTTGGGAGGATGAGGCAGACTTGGGAGGATGAGGATCACTTGAGTTGGGGAACTCGAGACCAGCCTGGGCAACATGGTGAAACCTCATCTCTACCAAAAAATACAAAAATTAGCCAAGTGTGGTTGTGTGCCTGTAGTCCCAGCTACTTGGGAGTTTGAGGTGGGAGGATAACTAGAGTCCAGAGGCAGAGGTTGCTGTGAGCTGAGATTGTGCCACTGTACTCTAGCCTGATAACAGACAAGACGGATGGATGGAAGGGAGGAAGGGAGGAAGGGAAGGGAGGAAGGAAAAGAGTGAAGGAGGGAAGAAGGGAGGGAAGGAAGGAAGGAAGCAAGCAAGCAAGCAAGCAAGCAAGGAAAAAAGACTGGGCATGGTGGCTCACACCTGTAATCCCAGTACTTTGGGAGGCCGAGGCAGGCAGATCATCTTGAGATCAGGACTTCTAGACCAGCCTGACCAACATGTCACCTCTACTAAAAATACAAAATTCGCCAGGTGTGGTGATACATTCATGTAATTCCAGCTACTCAGGAGGCTGAAGCAGGAGAATCCCTTGAACCAGGAGGTGGAGGTTGCAGTGAGCCAAGATCTCACCATTGCACTCCAGCCTGGGTGACAGAGCAAAACTATGTCTCAAAAAAAAAAAGATTTTCACTTTGAAATAAATAAGCAGTCTCAGGATATCAATTACTCTCCAATAATACCAATAATGTTTGTGTTTGCAACAATGATGATAAAAGCAATAACCATCACACCATCACTGCATGCCCTTACCATAGTATCCATTTACAGATAAGGAAATAACTAGTTCAGTATCATACCACTAGTGACAAAGACAGAATTCAAGACCTGATGTAGCTATTTTAGAACCTACATGCTTTACTATATTATATCTCATCGTATAAGCAAAGGAAGTTTAATATTAAATTTGGTAAATGAAATGAAAATCTCCAGCTTTATGAACACTAAAATAGCATCATTAAAAATTAGCAACTCTTAGCACAGGTTAGGAATGTTGAAAACCTAAGTTCCCCTCTTTTAGCTAAAATTTAGTCGTAAGCATTCTGACACTTATAGCCTATCTTTGAAATTCTTCTACATAGATATGAACAACACAGGTTAAAAGCAGGCAAATATTAATATAAAAATAAATTTGTTGTGTATTACTATAAAATGCTAAACACAAATTCCAAATACCTGAGGTAGATAAGATTCAACAAAGAAAACAATCACATATGGTACACTAATCTGTAAGCAATAAGCACCAAGCTCTTTCCTACATTTTTCCCTGCAGTTTTCCACATTATTCCTCTATAAGTTTCTCTCACATCCTAGAACTGACATCCTGGCCTCTAAGAAAGGCTGAGGGGGCTGGGCACAGTGGCTCATGGCTGTAATCTCAGCATTTTGGGAGCCAGAGACAGGTGGTTCACTTGAGGTCAGGAGTTTGAGATCAGCCCGGCCAACATGGTTAAGACCCCATCTCTACTAAAAATACAAAAATTAGTTGGGCATGGATGGTGGGGCATGCCTGTAATTACAGCTACTTAGGAGGCTGTGGCAGCAGAAGAATCACTTGAACCTGGGAGGCAGAGGTTGTAGTGAGCCAAGATCGCACCACTGCACTCCAGCCTGGGCAACAAAGGGAGAATCCTTCTCAAAAAAAAAAAAAAAAAAAGAAAAAAGAAAAAAGAAAGGCTGAAGGGAACTGGAATCTGTTAATCCATGAAATACCAGCTAGACTGTCTCAAGATGAGTATTGTAACCAAAGGTCTCAAAGGTTTTCCACCTAGAAACTAGAAACATTAATCAAGATATAAATAAAACAGTTGTTATAAAAATATATAGATATATTTAGTAGTATAATTAACAGGAGATAAAAGAGTAATCATTTTAAAAATATAAGAAAATATTCAGGCAACTGATTGTAATTAATTGATTATACTAATTGGCTTTATGTAGGTCCAGAGCAAATATTACATATTGAACTGCTATTTATTAAGATTAATTTAAAATTTACTGTCGTACTTCTACTGGATCTGAAAGCCAACAGTCAAGCTGTACCATGTCTATTTTCATAACCAATCATGATAAAAATGTCTTAAGAGTGGATCAGTCTGGATCTACATTAAAAACTAATCATTAAAGGAGTATTGAGTGATGGGAGACACAGGTAATATGAAGGAGAAAAGGTGAATATAAGTAAAGCATGGGAAAGGAGGAGGAACATACTAATGAATTAAACACACACACTAATGCCCGCAAATAACCCACAGAGACAGAGAAGTACCTGGAAAGCTGTGAGTGCGCCAGTCCCTGGGTTATACAGGCATCGCAGCGAAGGCATGCTGTCCGCCAGGCTGGAGCAGCCCAGCCACAGAGACCTGGGCATAGAGCACTGCAGAGAGAGGACAACTATGAGATGGGACAGTATGAGACAGGATGGTACAGATTACAGGAATTTTTAAGGCTTTGCTGAATGCAATATTCCAGTTGCAGCTGACCTTATGATAGAAACATCTTTAAGAAACACGCTACTTAACTGGTTCTAATCCCAGAGAGAAACCCAAAAGGGGCAGTAGTGGCCAAAAAGCAAGGGGGAAAAAAAGAATTTATCATTCAAAAAAACCAAACAATTAGTCAAAAAAAGTTTGTCCATATTCTGTATGAGTCTAAAGGGAATCTACTTCACAAGCCAGTTGACCAATTATTTTCCTCTATGCACCTCAACTCAGCTCCCATAAACTCACCACAGGGTGTAATACTGTACAGACTAAGCAGAAAGACAGGGAGTTCACAGAAGCATTACAATATTAGGAATGGTAAATTAGAAAACAAAAACCACAGTTAGGTTGTTTTTATTTTTATTTTTTAGAAGGAAAAGAAAAAGTATTGTATCCCTATGGCTTTGACAGCAACAAACTGCACAGTTTGCATATGTTTTATGTATCTTGTTAGTCTGCTCTTCATTAACCAAAATGCACAGTTACCATAGCAGCTGCCTCTTCATCTCCAGATGGATTAGGGGTGTGTGGGGGGAGTGTAAGGTGGAGAGAAGAAACAACCCAAACAGAAGAGAAAACACCAACAAAGAAAGAAAGACAGGGATAGAGAGAAAGAAGAAAGGAGAAGCGGGAGGGGGGAGAGGGGCAGAGGAGAAGAGGGAGAGAGGCGGAGACCCAGAAAGCTGTTGGTTTTAAAACCTTCTAAACAAAAACACAAACAAACAAAAATACCTAAGAATGTACATATACATATGGTGTATTCAGTAACCAAAAAAGGTAGAAATTACAATTTCTAGTAGCTCTACATAAGTGAATACTAGTATTACTGTGCCTATAGCTTTATAAGAAACTATACCTTTCAAAACTATTTTTACATTCTTCCTGTTTCTCTAAAAGTATCCCAGGTTGAAGTTTCATCCATCAACTTAAGTGTTATTACAGTCTAGTAATAACAACTAAAAAACTAAATACCTAATTGTGGCACATATAAAAACAGGGATACATCTTTTAAAATACAGTAGTCAATATAGGTAACATTAAACTTTAAATTACAGACTTCAGAATATTTTATATTGTCATAGACTTTTTTCTTCTTAAAACAATATAGTTGTAGAACTATTGGGAAGCAAAATATGGTATTCACTGTTTACACAACCTAAAATTGATAAAAGGAAAATGAGAGCCATGCAAGGGGTCTGTGCCTGTGGTCCAAGCTACTCAGGAGACTGAGATGGATGGACTGCTTGAGCCCAGGAGTTCAAATCCAGCCTGAGCAGCACAGCAAGATCCTGAGAGAAAGAAAGAGAAAGAAAGAAAGAAAGAGAGAAAGAGAGACAGGGAGAGAGGAAGGGAGGAAAAGAGGAAAGGAGGAAGGGAGAAAGGAAGGGAGAGGGAGGGAGGGAGGGAGGGAGGAAGGGAAGAAGGGAGGAAGGGAGAAGGAAGGAAAAGGAAGGAAATGGGTTGTAAATAAATCCAAAGGAGAGCTGATCCAGATCCCTTGCTTTTATATCATTATCCTTACTTTATTTACCATCCCTAGGACTATGCTTAATACATTATCCTCATTTTATATTTAAGGTGACTGATGCCCAGGAAAAATTAAGTATTTATCCATGAACATAAATTTACAAAGTAGGGAAGCAGGGACTAGAGTCTTGGCCTGTTGCTTTCTAGTGCAGAACTCTTCCTCATGCCTCCATCCATCCCTCACTCACAGACACTGGACTTCAAAAGAAGGGTATCTGCTAAAGGCATCTTCACTGGATAACATGCCAAGCAAAACAGCTAAACTGCTTTGAATTACTCCAACAATATTCCAACTTTGTTCACTGTTTTCAATGTTTCTTCGCCTTGAGCTACAATCCATTTTATAAACAGCAGCTACATAGAATAAATAATTGTCGTCACTTTGTTATCATGTCATGCTCATCAATAATTCATAAGGGCGCCTTATATCTACTATATGAAATCCAAGCACTCTATCAATCTGACATTTCCCCACTGCCAACATCAACTCACCTTCTCTGATCTTCCAATTGGCCCTGACACTCTAGCTAACTACCTGCCTTGATATTTTGTTTAAATACTCATCCTACCCCTATGTCTTTAAACTTATAATTTCCTTCTCCCTCTCACCCTACCATTTATATCTATATCTCCTTAGAATTATGTATACTAATTTCACTCTCTGCCAGTGGTTCTTAATAGCAGAGATTCTCACATTGGAAGGAAAAGGCAACAGAAAGAGAATCCAGAAAACAGGGTAAAAAAAAGCTTCCTTCCCATTGAGAATCACATTCTACTCATATTACTGCTCTACAATGTAAGTATTAAAAATGCTTTGGGCTGGGAGCAGGGGCTCACACCTGTAATCCCAGCACTTTGGGAGGCTGAGGCAGGTAGATCCCCTGAGGCTGGGAGTTCAAGATCAGCCTGAACAACATGAAGAAATCCTGTCTCTACTAAATATACAAAATTAGCCGGGAGTGGTTGCGCATGCCTGTAATCCCAACTACTCCAGAGGCTGAGGCAGGAGAATCGCTTGAACCTGAGAGACGGAGGTTGCAGTGAGCCAAGTTCATACCATTGTACTCCAGCCTGGGCAATAAGAGTGAAACTCTGCCTCAAAAAAAAAAAAATGCTTTGCTAAAATAGTTTTTAATATTGTAATCATTTATTGAACAAATACTTATTAAATGCATTTCTTGTAGTAGACACTGATTGAGCCAGATGTGTTGGCTCAATCCCGTAATCCCAGCACTTTGGGAGAGCGAAGCAAGTGGATGCCTTGAGCCTAGAAGTTCAAGACTAGCCTCAGCAACGTGGGATACCCCATCTCTACAAAAAACAAAAAATTTTTTAAAAGCTGGGCATGGTGGCATAGGCCTGTGGTTCCAGCTACTTGGGGAGGCTGAGATGGGAGGACTGCTTGAGCCAGGGAGATCAGGGCAGCAATGAGCGGTGATTATGCCACTGCACTCCAGCCTGAGTAACAAAGCAAGACCCTGTGACAGGACAGGACAGGACAGGACAGAACAGAACAGGACAGAGGGGAGGGAAGAGGAGGGGAGGGGAGGGGGAGAGGGGGGAGAAGAGATAGGGGAGGGGAGAACAGAGAAAGGGAAACAGAAGACAGAAAGAGAAAAAAGAAGAGAGAGACAAGGGAAAGGGAGAGGAAGAGAGGGGAGAGGAAGCAAGGGGAGGGGAGAAGAAGGGAGGGGAGGGGAGTGGAGGAGAGAAGAGGAGAGGAGTTGGAGGAGAGGAGGAGAGGAGACACTGTCCTGGGCACTAGGGCTAGAGCAATGGACAAAAAAACCCACAAAAATCCCTGTCTTTGTGGAACTTACATTCTAGTGACTTTGTCTCAACCTTAACTTTTATATTAAAAATCCTTGGCCAGGCGTGGCTCATGCCTGTAATCCTAACACTTTGGGAGGCCGAGGCAGGCAGATCATTTGAGGTCAGGAGTCCAAAACCATCCTGGCCAACATTAGCTGGACATTGTGGCGGGTGCTTGTAATCCCAGCTACTCAGGAGGCTGAGGTAGGAGAACTGCCTGAACATGAGAGGTGGAGGTTGCAGTAAGCCTAGATCGTGCCACTGTACTCCAGCCTGGGTGATAGAATGAGACTCTGTCTTAAAAAAAAAAAAAAAAAAAAAAAAAAAAATTAACATAAAAGTAACTCACTGTTATAAGAAACGCTGTACATATGCAGTTCGTTAAGGTTCTGTGTATGCTGAGTAGAAAAAAGTCTCCCAGTCATTTAGAAGGAAAGATTGAGTCTGAGAAAAACAGGAGAAGTCAGAAGCAGGAGTAAATAAAAAGAGCATGAAAACACAGGAAAAAGACAAAGGAAATAGTGGAAGAAAATGAAAGAGGCACTGGAAGATAGCTTGTCACTTCTCCTGCTTCCCTCACAAGAGGGCAAGCGGCACATATACTTTTAACCATACTAAAGCCACCTGCATGACATACAGCAGGCACAGCTGGGTCTAGAAACCAACCAGAACACTTTTGTTCACAGACATGGGGCTCTTTTTTAAATTAAAATATACATATATATTTCTTTTTGTGAACATTACTTGGTAAGCTTTTATAAGGCCTTCCTCTTGTGAATGATTTATCTCTGCCATTTTATATAAAAATTTGCATTATTTTTGTAGTATGTACTTGATAAATTATCTCAGTTTACTTACTGTTACTTATTCTAACACTGTTCCTTATTCATTTATCCCTATTCTCCATCAAAACTACTAACAACTAAGAATTTGAAAGGGCTTACCCCATCTCCTTAAACTAAAATTTCAAAAGAAAATTATAATCAATAATGAGCCACATACACCCAGGAAAGCCACTAGATATACTGGTGTGATTTCCAAAATGGCATTAACTTTCAAACACCACACAGAGGATGCATTCCCGATTATTACAAGACAATTGGTGTGGGTATGAAAACTGCACTTGAATATAGTCAGATCTGCACATTACCATAAGATTTTATATATTATGGCTCAATTTAAAAACTAATTTTCAAATTGGTTTGTATTGTAACAATTAATCTTATCCATACTGCTAAATGCCACTTAACACTGAGAAAAAAAATATAATTACAAAATAAATGGAGTAGGCAACTTTTACTCTACCCCTTTCCCTTCTATCTTCACATGTAGAAGCATTTTCTAAATGAAGGGGAAAAAAGCAAATCTGGCCAATGAGGAACAGAGTGGAAACGACTGCCATTTTGGTTACTATCCTTATTCATTCTACACATTTCAGGGCCATTCTGATTGGTCAGTTTCTGACAAATATGTAGGATGTTTTCTGTCCTTCAACTTTAAATGTTGAAGGACAGAAAACATCCTTGGATTTTTTCAAACGTCTTTCGAATTTGGA